TTTACAACGTCGTTGCCAAGCGACGAAAACCCAACCCCGAGGGGGGGGGGGAGAGATCGAATATAATCGAGAAAGCAAAGAGGTGATTCAATCTTCTCGGAGACTGATCGGCTTATAGGAAGATTCTTTCGACCAATGTCAGTCTCCACCAGATCACTTGTTCCCGGTGTGTGTTGGACGCCCCTGTACTACTACTACAAGTATGATGAGGATGGAACCGACTTCGCCTTGTGCGCTGCTGGACGGAAAACAAAATTGGAAGGGCCCGAAGGACGTCGAACATTCGACGATTTGTACATACATGTGCGTGCATGCGATGCATATAGATAGCGCCCGACATCAAGAAAGAAGGGCAGGCTCAAACTTTCGCGACATATAAAACAAAATGACTGCTGTACAAAACACACCCTCAGCCGTGCAGCCTACGCTAAACTCTATATGATGACCTATCCATGCTCGACGGTGGTGACCAAAAAAGAAAGCGAGCCTCGAGCCCAAGTTGGCATTTGTTGAACGCGGGCGCTTGCTGTACTACTGTACAGCCCTCGGGAATAAGAAAAAGCAGGGGAAGCTTTCGATGCATGATCGAGACAACATTGATTTTCCATTCTTCTGTTCTTCTACATGCTACAGCACAGGTCCGTATGTTTCGGTTGTGGAACACAAACACATGTTATGTTCACACCCAAGTATTCGGACAGAAGAAGTCGAAACCAAACCTTCTATGTAGTCAGCACGTCAGCACTGCTAACTGACTAGTCTAGACTAACACACAGTTTGGTTGCGGTTTCAAAAGATACGGCCACCTCCCTTGCGAGGCTATAAAAGACTCATTATTAATCTTCGATTTGGGGATTTGGGTCCAGTTTGGCCCATTCGGCTCTAACCCCACTTTGACTCTCCATTTCATCAATATTTAAGCTCGGGACTTGCGCAAAACCTTGCAAAATCGGGCGCGGGCATAGTGTCTGATGTCACACTTCCCCTCTCTCTGCCGCTCAAGAACGCGAGTCAACTTTTCCTTCTGATGATGGTCATGATGGAGTCAACGGAAGAAACCACCAGCAGCCTGCTTCTTTGGTTGTTGCTGTGTCGTGCCGAACGAAGAGAGAGAGACAGAGTGTGAGTGACTCTTGTCCGTTGAGAACCTACACACCACGCGGTAGAACTTTTCGTCCTCGCTGCACACTTTTGCATCGCATCAGTTTGTATGCGCGAGAGAGAGATACGCCGCACGCCATCTCGTGCGGCCTATTTCGTCCCCGCTACGGCGGTGTCTTCCTGGCTGCTGGCCTACGTCAGCCTGCCAGCTCAGCGTGCCAGCTCAGCGGGCCAGCTCAGTCCCCGCCACGTCGGCTTGTCCGATGGCGGTGCCCTCGCTCTGCTCGCACCCCTCTGTCACTTCTATCCTTGTCCCTTCGGCTCTCACCCGAGATCCAACTCTGTCAACCTTTGTCTGTCCGGTGCTTTCTACGCATCGTCCATACCCACGACCGTTGCTCACGGAGGCCTCTTGTACCTTACAAGAGTCGAGGATTCACACCCTCCTGCGGTGCTTGTCTGAGAGTCAACCTATACCTGGCGTCAGCGAAGAACCTTTACTGGTGAACCTCTCAGATTTGCGCTGCAGTGTCCTCCATACCCCACCATGTCCAACCCCGGGGTCGAAGAAACGAAACTGAACCACCCCGAGGGTGGATCTTCCACGGGCGAGGGCGGCCTTCCGCCCGCTCCTGCCCCCACCCCTGCTCCTGCTGCCGCGCAGGAGACTCAATCCCCTGTCTCGCCCTCCAGCGACTCAGTCAACGTCGGCCACCAGCTGCGTGGCGACGCTCTCGAGACGCACCAGGAGCAGCTCGCGCTCGCTGCGTCTCGCGAGCCCGCCGCCGCCGCCGCCATGGATATCGACGACGACCTCGTCTCTCACCCTAGCGTCGCCAACTCCCACCCCGTCACCGAGACCCCTCCCCCTGGCGCCTCCGTCCTCGACGCAACGATCGCGAGCCTCACCCGCTACATCGAGAACGAGTCAGAAAAGCTCGCCCGGGGAGACATCACGGAGCTGAGCCTTCACACCATGGAAGTTATGGATAAGGTGGTGAGTCTGCGTGCAGCTGCCTGTAGTCAATCTTCCTCGGTGTCCCCGTCTGTGTCCCACAGCTCTGTCTCTGTCCCTTCGCTAGCTCGTAGCTTTGCCGAGGCCCTGTCAACTAAGTCTCACCGTGTCACGCTGTCCGCCAACGATGTCAAGCAGCTCCCCCGTCTCACGGGATCTGCTGACACCGATGTCATTTCTTGTCTCAACCAGTTCAGGCTAGTCTGCAGTTTCCGTGTCAAGGCAGTAGCACCCGCTTCTACCACCCCGTCTGACCTAGAGTCGATGTCTGATCAAGCCGCTTTCGAGCACCTGTCGCTGATCTGTGATGGCCCCATCCTGTCTTTGTACCAACAAATCATGGACGGCTCAATCAACTGGGAACAACCCCAAGGGTCTGCTTCCACCGATAGCCCTGGCTCTCACACTTGTCCCACGAACTGGTCCGAGCTCAAAACCGCCATGCTCGATTGTCTCATGCCGTCCAATTCTGTAGAGGAGTCTGCCCTCCGTCTCGCCACTTTCCAAATGGACAAGACGGAATCTGTCGCAGCGTATGCCCTCCGCTATCAAGCAGAAATGTCACGCTTCGAAGCGTCTGTCGAACGGTTTTCACAAGGAGCTTCCCCCGATGCCGCTCTGTCTGTCGTCATGTTTCGCAATGGTCTTGTCCCTGATATCAAACTCCTCGCTAGTCAGGAGCAGCACCTGTGATATCAAACCATGCAGGGTGCTGTGTCACAGGCTCGTCGCCTTGAGGCTTCCAACCTCATTGGCCTTAACCCTGGTCGTGCTGATGCATACACCAGTGCCATGTCTTTCACGCATGTCCCCAATCGCACCGCTATCACCCAGCAGTACAACGCGATCCAGCTCCGGAACGCCGCCGGCATTGTCCCCGCGCGTCGATCCGACTCGGGCTCCGGTTCTGGCTCTGGTGGTGGGTCGGGCTCTGGGGGTCGCTCTGGTTCCGGCGGCCGCGGAGGAGGCAACTCCAACCGCAACCGCCGCAGCAAGGG